AAAAAAAAAAAAAAATGAATTTAAAAAATGCAAAATATTAAGGGGTCGATTCTTCCATCAAACACTTAGGTAAAAAAAATCGCTTAACAGGTCACGCACGTTTGAGTGAAACATATTAATTCTACCCTCAGCATCGTGGACACGCCCGCCACACTTAACGTGAAAAAGAAGGCGTGGCCGTGAAAAAGTATAATATAATTAATTCATTAAGCAAGAAAAGGGGATAACTATGGGCTGATATTTGTGCCACTAGAAACTGAATATGAATTTTGTATATTTGATTCTGCAGTTATCCGCATTACAAAACTGAATCTGAATTTAATAGTTTGAATTTGAATTCCAGTAACTCGAAATAGCATTTATCCTACCTCGAAAAATACAGTTTGCGAATTCAATTTCAATCTCATGTAACACACCTAACTCGAGATAGCATTTATCCTACCTCGAAAAATTCAGTTCGCAAATTCAATTTCAATCTAGTGTGACACACATCCGAGTCCTTGAGAAAAAGTAATCGACCGCAGATTCACAACGCAACTCATTTCTACGTTTACGACAGTTCTGCAGGTCGGGGTAAAGAGGGGGCGTGTGCCGGGGTGTCGCAAGTGCAAATGCGGGATCATATACGTAATAAAAATTAAGCAATACCGGTGTTCTGTCGATATATGCTGCTTTGTCGAAAAATGCTACCGTAGTGCTGATAGCACTAACCCTAACTCTTACCCTAACCCTAACCCCCCAAAACCCCTAAAACCCTTAACCCTAACCCTAATCCCAAAACGGTGGAACTGCACATGCGCAGAAAGGCTCGATAGGTAGCATTTTTCGACAGAACACCGGCACTGCTATATCTTAATCTTTATCGTGCCACCATTTCTCACAAGTTGCCAGTACTCTACTCAAAGACAAGCGTCACGCGAGAGTGGCGGGACACCGCGCGCCGTATGGTCAGTGTTGTTGAGGCGCTCCTGTTGTTCCCAACATCCCCGCCGCCGTTCTCACGGTCAATACAGTAGCGACACTTGTATTTCTCCACTTAGAGCACTGCTCATACAGATCACCATATTAAACCCCAGTCCAATTGATGTTTCCGGTTACTAGTACAGTACACAGAGAGCGCTGTAGACCTGCAGCAGACAAGACACATAGCACCTCAAACCCGCTTTATAACTTTACATTTAGATCGATACAGGGGGGTATGTGTATCGATGCATTCATGTTGTGTTTTTTTCTTCAGGAGTCAGGAGCCGCTTGTGTAGATCTTCAGATTCAGCCTTTATTGCCAAATAATTTACAATGAAAAAAGAACGCCAACGTGATACAATTTTATCAGCAACGAACACACGCACCGCAAACGAAATTCAGTGAAAAGGGCGGGACACAGTCTGAGGTAAAATTCAACGGTAAAACTGACCACAGAAACTGTGATCGTTGGGTTTTAAAACTTCACGTAAATGTTTTTAAAATGTATATATTTATTCAGTCCTTTGTGGGTTTGGGATAGACTATAATCTGTTGTTCTAATTGGTATAAATTTAGTTGGTATAAAAGGTATAAAACCTTCCATTCATTTAGCTGCTGAAATTAGTAAATACATCCTTTCAGTCTTGTTCCAACAGAATGATTGTTAATATGATTATAATTATTTGGGTTATTTCAGTAAAAACTGGGTTGCTTTTCAAAGTCATTGTTCAATGGAGATTTTTTAGACATCCTTGGGTAACATAAGAAGCCAATAATAGGTCTGTTTTGCCAAGTGTGTACTGTATTGCATGGCTACTTTAAAATATAGTTTTCTTTTTCACATTATCAAGTTTTGTATAGCTTGATAAGTTTCCCGCTTTGGCTAAAACGTCGTCTCGATATATACATTCATTCTCCCTTTACACTGCTACCTGTTCCGAATGCCAAAGACCTGCACTTTTGGTAACCAACTGGAATACTGGTTTAGTGCAACACCTTCTCCCGGGACCTAAACGTAGCCGGCAGTGTCAATTTGGAGAAACGATGCTATGTTTGGGTTCATTACTGTATTTGCTGTATACGATGATATTATATACAATATAAAAAGCTATTTTACATTTATTTGTAAATATACAGTCCCCTAAAATACGCCTAACAACGCCCCTGGTTTTACTCCGCAATCGATTGACGAGATCAATATCAATAAAATACAGTTGTACCTCAGTTCTCGAACTCATTAGAACTCGAATTTCTTAAAAGTCGAACCAACCAGTTCGAAAAAAAATTACCTAGAGCTCGATCTGAATCTCAGAAGTCAAACCGTGAATGCCGACCTAAGATAACTTATAAGCGCGGGGAAATGAGTCACGTGGTAGGTCTCTCAGCGGAAACAAAGGGTAACGCTTCAGTCTCAGCCTCGCATTCGCTGAGATCATCGTGCATGTTTATGCTAGCTGAATACATATATTTAGACAGTAAAAATACATTTAGACAACAATAGACAGTAACAGCAATTATTATATAATGAAATACATTTTAAAATAAAGATTTCTTATTCATTATTTTAATATTAATAATAAACAATTAATACATTTAATTATAATAATATTGTCGTGCGGACGGAACGGAAAACGCAGACGGACAATACATTGACCGGACTGGGGAAACAAACTGAAACGCAAACGAAATACAGAGGGCTAATGAAAACAACCAGAAACAGCTGATCACATGGGGATTCCACACGGGGTTAACGAGGGGGCGTGGCACAGTTTTTAACTTTACACATTGTTTGGATACATTTATTTTCTTACTTTACAAATGACTGTTTTGATAAATGTGCTTAGATGTGTTTAGTACAGTATATGCTCTTCTTGTTTTATCCGGTTCATTTTGTGTTTAAATGCTAAAAAAACACATTTAGGTGTAATTTTTTGTGGCCGGGAACCAATTAATTGGTTTTACATTATTTCTTATGGGGAAAATTCTATCAGAACTCTTTAAGGATTCGATCCGGAGTTCTGAACGGATTAAATTCGAGTTCTGAGGTACCACTGTACTGTAAATCTGTCGTCAGGGTAATTAAAAAAATTGGAGAAAAGTTACGTTACTGTTATGAGTTCGCCAGAATGACCCATAATGTGTTTAAGAACGGATCCATATATTTTGACTTCCCCCCCCCCTAATCATTCAGGACATTTCTGTGAAGAAGCAAATATGCCTAACCAGTATATACTCATCTCTGTAACATCGCCATAGTTATGTCACCACAAGTTTTCATGGAATTGATTCAGCGTGCTGGGTCCTCACAGAAAAACCAAACGCCCTGTTACCACGGCCGGCTATAGGAGTGGGAAGGGGTGAGCAACGCCCACCCAAATTTCTGCTCTGTCTGTACCATGGGAATCTGCCAATTTCGTTTATTTCATTCTTCCCATCAGATATTCTTCTGCGGAACATTTGTATAGGTATGTTACAATCCACGGGAATCCTGGGCGCCATTTTCTACGATCGCCACTGCTATGCGATATAGGTGCATCACAGGGTAACCCCAAGGTAAAATGGGCAGTGCGCTGTCTGTGATGGGCTATTTCTGCGAGATTCCTTGTTATGACATACTTAGGATTCCCCTCTTCAGCCTCGAATTCGAATTTTTCAATTTGATCATACGGTTTGTCATTTTTGCTTGCGCTGAAAATTTTCATCAAGTTCAACCTGTTCTAAACCAAAATCTATGCTTTGGACAATAACAAAAGCTAATTGG